TTGAAGAGAAAAATCAGCCTGTGTGGTCTTACCAGAGAATGCTCTATGAAAGACAGAATTAAAAATGGAAAAGCTTTGAATGGCAAGAGAAGATGAGAGAGGTAGAAGCGATAGGTGTCAGGTAAGGAGCAAATGTGAGCGCTGAATTTGAGACGTTCCAGAAAAATGTTTCTGGAACTAAAAATAAAAAATACGGGTGGACTTTGAATATGGAGATGGCAGTCACTTCTCAGTATCCAGGGAATACCTGTCCCTTGGCAGGTGAAGTCCTTCAGAGGGAATGTGGTGATCATGTAAGCTACACATATCCTCCCTTAGGTTTTTAATCATTTCTAGATTATCATACTGAGCACAATGTAGATGGTATGTAAATAGTAATTATACTGTATTGGTTAGGGAATGATAGTAGGGGAAAATTTGCACATTCAATATGGGCACTTAGAAAGGGATGTTTGTTCCATTATTGGTTGAATTCTTGGATGCTGATGTTGCAGGATTTGGAGGGCTGACTGGACTTGCTTGAATGTTAAACAGCAACTGTACTTTGGTTTATAGGCCAGGGGAATCATTTTCATTAGTGGAGTCATGGAGTTCTGTGAAGATTAATCTGGTGGCTGGGTTGAGGGGTAAACAGGATAGATTAGAGAAACCATGGTAATTAAAAAAGGAGATGTCTGGTACTCACTTAGCTTTGTAGTTTTTAATGATAGTATCATGTTGATAGAATCTAGAAAGAATTCTCCAGTCTGATGGCTTGGGAGTAGACTTCAGTTGAGAATGCTAACTTAGTGGCCTACCTTGAGTCTTTTAGGTATACAGTGGTAAATTTTTCAAGAAATGTAATAAAGTATAGATCATAGCTGAGACTACCATGTGGCCATATGTAAGCTAAATCAAAAGGAAAGCAGTTTGCCTTCTTTGTACCCAAGTTATTTTCTACAAAGGGCACCGAGTAGCACCCATTCTGTTCCCACATTGCCTGAGAGTTTGGGGGTGACTGAGGGCTCTGTTTTTGCAGTCTCATGACCAGCCTTTTTGGTGTATAGTGTCTGCCTATTCACACAGGATCATTCCTGTAGTTCAGATTTGGTTTTCTCTCACCAAGTCACTTATGACATTTTAATAGTTCTGTCTGTGCGGGGTATGGTGGCACACCTTTACCCAGCAGAGGCAGGTAGATTTCTATGAGTTTGAGATCAACCTGGTCCAGGCCAGCCAAGGCTATATAGAGTCTGTCTTAAAAAAACAAAAACAAAAACAAAAAACAAGACAAGAAAAAGGGCCTCATGTTATTGAGTATTAATGAAATGCTTCATTAAAAAATCAATAGGCATAATGGCATATGCCTATAATCCCAGCACTTGGAGGCTGGAGCAGGAGGACTGAGATGGAAGCTGAAGCATTTTATCTTAACGTTTCTATACTTAGTGGGTTTTGTTGTTTGTTTTTGTGTAGTTTGGGAGCTCTAACAGTTTATTAAAAGATCGTCTATAAAGGTGAGTTGCTATGGTTAGAGTCTGTTAGGGAACAAATGCTTTTATGTTCCCTGAAACTTGTAAGTTAAAGTCCTTAGGGAAGTGTGGATTGTAATTTGAGACAGGGCCTTGATAAATACTGAAGGCAGAGCTCTGAACTGTAAGAGCAAAGAAAGCTTGTTCTCATCATATCGTCACCAAGGAAAGGTCATGTGAGGACAAGAGAGTCATTTGCAAGCCAGAAAGAGAACCCTGGTAAGAAGCTGCATTGGCTGGTGCCTTGATGTGGGACTCTAGCCTCCAGCTCTGGAGAAAATACAGGCCACTGTTTAAGTCACTTAGTCTACAATATTTTGTGGCAGGCTAAGCTGACTAATTCAGAAACATAGTTAAGGGAGACAAAAAAAAAAAAAAGATTTACAACTTACAAAACTCTGATCCACAGAAAATCTTTTTTTTTTATTAAAGAATAATGTATGTATCTAAAACTGCCCTTCATGTGCAAGTATGGATACAGTAATGATGAAATTTAGTGACAAACCAAAATTATATAGGATCTTAGTGAGTGAAGATTTCACTGTGGTGGGGACATGTTTAGGAACGGAAAAGGGAAAATTACAAATGTTTAAAAATGTTTTGTTTGGATAGACTAGAATCCCATGCCATGGGATGTATATAAAGGTATATAAAGTTATAATTCATCCAAATTTCTGAAACTACTTTGTTCTATAAAATATATAACCTAGGATTTGTGATGAAACTCATTTTTAGATATGTTTATCTAAAAGGAGATCTTTGAGAAAAATTTTTAGGGCTGTGACTGTAGCTCTGTAGATAGAAGCATTTGCCTGGAATATTTGGGTTCAATGCCCCAAACTACAGCAGGCAGGGGAATGAAGTACAGTTGTACCCTAGAGTTCATCTCTTTAGAGGAGCTAGATAGAGATGTGAATTTGCAGAAAACCTTTAACAACAGTAAAAGCAGCCATTGCTTACCAAGCCCTCTGAGAACCTATGACTCCGTATCCATATCACAGCAGCATTGACTGTTGTCAGCTAATAAGACTGTCAATCTTTTTGCTCAATTTTTTTATTTTTATTTTTTGAGACAGGGTTTCTCTGTGTAGCTTTGGAGGCTGTCCTGGCACTCGCTTACTCTGGAGATCAGGCTGGTCTCGAACTCACAGAGATCTGCCTGCCTCTGCCTCCCGAGTGCTGGGATTAAAGGCGTGCGCCACCAACGCCCAGCTTTTTGCTCAATTTTTTATTGTTATACTTTTCGTTAAGAACCATTCTAATCTAATTTCTATATGTTGGGTCCTAAATAGTTGAATGTATTGAAAACTATTATCTTCATTTTGTGTCTTCATCCTGTTTATAAAGTGCTTGTGATGAACAGAGGTTGTTAGTGCATTCCGGTATGTTAAATAGTGCCTTACTGGTTGGTGCTGTTCTTGTTTTGGTTGCTGCTGACTTGAGCTAGCTGCCTGGCTGTGTAGCTCAGACAGGCCCTCATCATTGGCTCCTCTGGTCACAGTCTCCCACTCTTCTTGGGTGTTTACTGCTTTTTTTGATTTGGAAGCTAGTTTCTCCAGGACCATGAAGTTACACATATTAAGCTATACATAATTAGCTGAGCTTGGTAATACCTACAAAGACCAAGAGTTCAAAGCCAGCCTAGCTACTCAAGACTGTTTCAAAAACCAAACCAATTCAAAACAAAAAACCCAACCACAGCCATCCCAACCCCTAAAGACCTAGAAGTTTATAAATTTACACGTCACACTTACTCTCAGTACTCTTGGGATTGTTTTTTTCTTAGAGTTATGGGAAATTATTAATTTTTAGTCATCATGTAACTTGTTTCATTTACTGTTAAAACCTTCTTCTTGGTCTCTTTACCAGTGCAATGGTTAACATGAAATTTAAAATTTAGATTTACTATCCTTGAGAGACCAAAAAAGACTCTTAATATTAAGCCCCTATCTTGTATAGGCTGTAACCCAGCTCCCACTTTTACCCCCAGATGTTGAAGACTATTTTTAAATAAGTCGATCTTGTAAAATTTATTTTAGCAAGATAGTAGGTCATAATACTGTTATTTTTTTTGTAATCAAGCTTGTTTACTCTGTTTAAAAGATGACTAGAACAACTGTAAGACATGTATGTTGAAATTAGAGCCTGCCTACATGTAGGCAGAATACATGTAGTCTTGTGGGTTTTGCCTTTATAAACCTTGGGGTGATGTGGCTAGGGGCTGCATCTTGGGAGTGCTCTTGGACACCAGTACTAAATAAAAAGCCTCTTTTTATTAAAATTTATTTATGGTCATGGTGAATCTTTGAGGGACCCCAGACCCATAACACTAGTTCCATATTAACCACTATAATTTGATATATGATAGGACAAGTCTTTATTATTTTCAGCGTTATATTTGTTATTTTAGATTTTTATATTTCTGAATACATTTTAGAAACAGTGGGTCCCAGTAAAGTGGCACATACTTTTAATTTCAGCACTTCGGAGGTAGAGATAGGTGGTGGATTCCTGAGTTCAAGGCCAGCCTGGTCTACACAGAGCGTTCCTATCTCAAAAACAAAACAAGAAACAGCTTATCAATTTCAGGAGTAACAACAATTATAGTAGTTACAATCCCCACTTGGAGTCCTGGGTGGAGTTGGGAAGGATTTGTTGTCTATAATTTTGATTCTTATAACCATGGTATGGATTTGTTTAACAATTCTTTTAGTATCTACCAATGAAGTTTCATATATTACTTCAAAGAGATATAGTACATATTGGGCTAGATCCTTGATATTATTTCTGTTTGTGCTTGATTTTTTTTTTTCTACATGCCTGTAATCTTAGCATTAGGGAGGCTGAGGCAAGAGGATTGAAAAGCTAAAGGCCAGGCTAGTAAGTTACCGGCTTAGTTAGGGTTTCAATTGCTGTGATAAAACCAATAACCAAAAGCAACTTGAGGAGGACAGGGTTCCCTTATTCCTACAGCTTGCAATCCATCATCCAGGGGAAGTCAGTGTGGGAACTCAAGGCAGGAATCTGGGGGCAGTAACTGATACAGAGACCATGGCGGGATGCAGAGGCCAAGGAGCAATGCAGCCCACTGGCTAGTTCCCCTGCCTTGCTCAGTTTGGACCTGCTGCCCAGAGGTGGCACAACTTCCCTGTGGGCTAGAACCTTCCACATCCACATCTGTCATTAAGAAAATGCCCCACTGTAGGCAGTTTTTCGTTAGGACCACCAGCTCCCCAATAAACACACATAATAGTTATAAATGCTGGGCTAATAGCTTAGGCTTGTCTCCAGCCAGCTCTTACAACTTAAATTAATCCATTTCTATTCATCTATGTGCTGCCCAAGGCTCATTTACCTCATCTATGAATTTCCCATGTTGCTTCTGCGTCTTGCTCAAGACTCCTCAGACTCTACCTGTCTTCTTCCCAGGATTCTCTCTTCCCTGAAAATCCTGGCTAGCTATTTTTATTAACAAGAAGAGCAACACACCTTCACAGTGTACATAAGGGCTGTCCCACAGCACTCCATCGACCTGCCTATACCGATAGAGGCATTTCGTCAGTTGACGTTCCCTCTTCCCAGCTGATCCCAATTTTGTCATGTTGACCAAAGAAGTAATCCACACTGCTGCATCCCAGACTAGTCTAAGCTATTTAGTGCGGCTTGGTCTCAAAAATCAAAACAAATAAACAAAACCTCTCAACAATTCCCCCAGCCAAACTCTTTCCTAGTCTTTGTGTATGTGTGCATTCACATATGATGTGTGTGTGTGTGTGTGAGAGAGAGAATGTGTGTGTGTGAATGTGCGTGCGTGTGTGAATGTGTGTGTGTGAGTGTGTGAATGTGCGTGAGTGTGTGTGTGTGTGTGTGTGTGTGTGTGTGTGTGTGAATGGGTGTGGTGCATGTACAAGAGTGCTAATGCACATCATGTAGAAGCCAGAGCAGGACACGAGTATTTTCCTTTGTTGTTCTATCTTATTACCTTGTGCAGACTCTCACTGAAACAGAAGCTGGAAACTGGATGTTTTGGCTTGGCTGGGTGGCCAGGGATCTTGTGGGATCTGTCTGTCTTGTGCAGCCATGCCTGGCCACATTTGAAAAAAATTATTTTACAATGTTTTCTTATTATTTTATGTCTATGTGTGTTTTGCCTGCATGTATGTGTTTGTACCCATGAAGGCCAGAAAAGGACATGGGATCCCATGGACTGGAGTTATGGACATTTGTGAGCTACCATGTAGGTTCTGGGAATTGAACCCTAGTACTCTGGAAGGGAAGCCAGTACTGCAGCCATCTCTCCAGCCCTCCACCCCCAAATTTAGAATTGTATCTATGTGCCTGTGCGTGCTGGTGTGCGGCTGTCACAGTAAGCATGTGAAGGTCAGAGAACAACTTGTACGAATAGGTTTTCTCCTTCATCACCTATTTTCTGGTGATGAAGCTCAGGTTGTTTGCCCTGGTGGTTACCTTTGCCGGGAGTCATTCTGCTGGTCCTACTTGTACCTTTTTTGTGGGTACTTGGAATTTGAAATCACTGCAGTGTCCCTAGTCCCTTAGTCTTTGCAAAGTCTGTTTTATGAAAAGTGTTTTTTTGTTTTTTGTTTTGTCTATGTGAGTAGAATATGTATTTGTGTTGTTTATGTGTGCATTCCTTTGAGGCAGGGTCTCTCTCTGAACCCAAAGTTTTGGTATCTGGAGTCCCCAGTTTTACATGGATGCTAGGATCCAAACCCCAGTCATAATGTTTGTGAAACAAGCATGCTTAGCTGCTGGGACATCACTTAAGCCTACAAGAAAGGGTGTTGATATACATTATTTAGGGTATGATGTAGAAGAGCCAGGAAAGACAGCTATACACATGAAGAATGGTGGGTATGGGTCTGTTAAGGCAGTCATACTTATTCATTCTTAACCTGAGGTTTTTTTTTTTTTTTTTTTTTTTTTTTTTTTTTTGAACAAGGGTTTCTCTTGGGTTTTGGTGGGCCTTTCCTGGACCCCCCCCAGAGAGATCTGCCTGCCTCTGCCTCCCGAGTGCTGGGATTAAAGGCGTGCACCACCAACGTTCGGCTTAACTGAGTTCTTTTTGAATTGCTGAGATTGCTACATTTTGGGTACTAGTCAGCTGTTAGAATTGTGATTTGTAACTTTTACTTGCCTACTTGTCTGTTCATTCTCTTGAAAGGATCTTTGGCAAAGCAAACACTTTAAATCTTGGTGAAATAAAATTATTTTTTCCTTTGTGGATCATATTTTTAGTATTATTTATAAGAACTCTGTTTGCTCCCCTCTCCATATATTTATGATCTGTGTATGTGTTTGTATCTGAGATCAAACTGAGGACCTCACACTGCTCGGCAAATGTTCTACTACTGAACTACATCTCCACCAAGACATTTTTACTTCTTCCATTACCATGGAATATTATTATATCACAATTTGTGTTTTTTCCCTCAGCTTATTAACACTAGTCAAGGCTTTCAGTGTTATTTTGAAAATAATGAGACATTCCTAATCTTAGAGGAGGGCATTGTTTCTTACATTGTTTTAGCTGGAAATTTTTAAATGCATGTCTTTATTATTAAGGAAGTTCTTTAGATTATAATAAAATTAGGAATTGCTTTCTCCATTGAAAAGATTTTAAAATTTTTGTTAATATGTAGAACCAACTGCTTTTGTTTTCCAAATACTGAATCAGTCTTATGTTTCTAGGATGAGACCTTGGTTATGAACTATCTTTTCTATTTCTGGATAATTGTTTTCTATTTATTGAAATTTTTGTTTGTGTGTTTGTGTGATGACAGATAACAGTCAGATATTTTATTTCCTTGTAATATCTGGACTGATTCTCATACTGAGAATTACTGGCCTCTTAAAAGGAGTTATCAAGTATTCCTTCCTTTCTATTTCTCCCAAAGGAATGTATAAAATAGTACTTCCTTCTTAAATGTTTTTGTTAGATCATCCCCCTTAGTTTCCTTTGAGAAGTTTCTTTTAAATCTAAAATCACAATTAGAAAGTATTGCTTTCTTTTGGATGACTTTAGTAACTTGTTATCTTTTAAAGAATCAACTAAGTAAAGTTATGGTGGTATAGATTTGCTCCAGGACTCCTCCATCCCTCCTTTACTGTCTTTAGGACTAGCATGATGCTCTTCTCTTTCTTTCATTATTATGGTAATTCACCTCCATTGTCTTTTTTCCTGACTAGCATGACCATAATATTTTTCAACTTACTTTTAAAGAATGATTCACCTCTGTATTTCATTGATTTCTGTTCTAATCACATTTCCTGTTGTTGGGTAGAATATTATCTAAGTATTAGTTTAGGTTGACTGTTTTTCATGTCGTCTCTAAACTGATGAAAGAGTATTATTATTGTGTGTATGTGGTATGTGTGTATGATGTATGCATGTGCCATGGCTCACATGTGGAGACCAGAGGACAACTTTGTGGAACCAGTTCTTTCTTTATGTGGGCTTCTGGGATTGAACTCGTTTCCAGGCTTGGGTGGGAAGCACCTTTGTCATTGAGCCATTTCAATCACCCAGCTTTCATAATTTTTTTACTGTTTTTATCTGTAACTCCAGAGAAATGTTGATGCTATTGACTTAGATGGTACAATTATCTAGTTTTCCTTATAGGTCTGTCAGTTTTTCCTTTACATATTTAGTTTATGCACATAGGATTTTGACCATTTTCTACGTGAATATAATGTGCTCTGGTCATACTCACGCCCTAGAACCCTTGCTCGTTCCCCTTCCACTTTGACTGATCTCTTTCCTCTCCCTGGTTTGTCTCCCTTCCATTTCCTGTCTTTTGGTAACATGTTTTTAATTAGGATTGTATATATCAGCATGGTGAGGGGTTATTTATATAAGTATTACAAGTTAGTAGTGACTAGCCTTGAAGAAAATATCACCTCTCCCCCAGTAACCACTTTCTTACTTCTAGTCACCCCTTAGGGAGGGACTGAGCCTCTTGAGCTCCATCCTGTAAAACAATCAGGAAGTGACCAGTAATCTTGGGTGAGTATTGCCTCTTTAGATGAGGCTGAGAACAAAACAGTGTTGGCACTTTCAGACAGCCAAATTATAAGTTCTGTGTTTTTAAAAATTTATCTTCAAGGTAGCAAAGTATTTGGGTTTCATTATAGCATCTTCGTGTGTGTGGTGTGAGTGAGTGTGTGTGTGTGTGTGTGTGTGTGTGTGTGTGGTGTGAGTGTGTGTGTGTGTGTGATTATACTTTGTTCTTATTCAGCACCTCCTCACCCCAACTGTCTGCTCTCAGCCCCTTGCCTTTGTTCTTGCTGGTCTTCCTTTTCTAGTCTCATGTCTCACAAATTTCATTACTACCTTCTCATTTCCCATAAATCTGTTACTCCCGGTAGAAGGCATCAATAAAACATCACAAAATCAACTAGAGGAGAATTCCATTTTTTTTCTTTTGCAGTCCATTTTGGTGACATTTTTCTATGAATCAATCAATTTTGTATAAACTTTTAAATTAATTGATATAAAATTATCCTTTTAAAACATTTTTAAAATGTGAAGTTTTTATTGCAATTCGTATTGTTTCATATTGCTTCTTGCTCCTCATTATTTTTCTTGGTGGAGGTTTCTGAGCTGATGACATGAAAGTAGAATCCAGCCCTTGGACAGGTCAGGAGAGAGGGTGCCATGTCATCTTGGAGTGCTCGTTCAGTGTATAACACACCTCCATTTCTGTCCCAGCTTCATTGCTTCCCTTTTTTGGCATAGCAGTTGATCACAAGCTTCTCTTTGACTGTTATCTGTTTTACTAGCTTAAAAATTAACCAGGTATTGGAAAGTCTGGTTTCAAGTCACTTACAAGAACTGGTTTACCACCAAGGTCTCTGGGACATGATTTAACTTAGGAATTTCCTTGGAAGTAACTTTTAGGTTACTGACAGGAAATATAAGGTGCTAAACGAATCAACAGTGCTTTGGCAATGTGTTTCCAGTATTTTCTAAGTGACTCTATAGTCCCTTTTAGATTTATTTATTTAATGTGCATGAGCATTTTGTGCACATGTATGTTTATGCACCACATTTGTACCTGGTGCCTGTGGAGGTCAGAAGGGGGTGTAGGAACCCCTGGAACTGGAAGTGTAGATGGTTATGGAACTCCATGTGGGTGCTGGGAATTGAACCTGGAAGAGCAGCCAGCATTCTTAACCACTGAGCCATCTCTCCAGACTGATCGTAGACCTTAATCACTTGTCATTCCTCAGGAGGACCACTGAAATACAGCCAGTGCAGAGCACACCAGGAAGTGATGCAGTCAGGAGGGAAGAAAGAAGCTGCATGATCCCTACACCTTCTGTATACACTGCCATTCTTGGGCTCTAGAAAATATTCTTCATGGCAGGTGTTTCTCATTATCCTTGTCTGACTGATGAAGAGACCAAAGCTTGACATGAAGTGACTAAGTAAAAGTCACAAAGTTGGGGTGGCCTCTGAGTACTTAGGTCTGCTCCCTCCAAGAGAACATGTAAAAGTAACAGAAGGAACTTCGTTGAATAGCAGTGTAACGAAAATCCCCCCTCCCCCCAATAGGGTTTCTCTGTGTAGCCCTGGCTTTC